TCATTCCCAACCTCGGGAATTAGAGATAAATGCACACCCTCCATATTCTGCACTGCACGGTCTTCCCCCATCCCCGTTCATATAAAACCACCCTCTCTAAATACACTCCCGTGACTTTTACGTGATTTATTTGCTAAATAAATTCGTGTTAAACGTTATTTATATCTATTTATTATTTTTGTTACCTCTTTTTTAATATTAGTAATGGAAAATAAAGGATGAAGTAAGCTACTATTGCTTATAAAGGATTAAATGAATGTTTGCTGCTTCTTTTTTTTTAATTGACAAAGAGTTATTAGAATAATAATGATAAATACACAAATGGAGAAAATTATATATACGCGAAATTAAAAAAAACAAAGGGTAAAAGATCACAAATTTTTTTTTGAAATTTTATGTTTAATAAAAGTAACAAAATAAAATAAGAAAATTCTAAAAACAATTAAGACAAGTTAATGTCCTTGAGCAGTTTATTAATTTTTTTAAAAAAAAAATTCAATGAAGCAAACCACAATGGAACAATTTTTTAGTCAACAATAATATTAATATGTAATAATAATAGTAATTAAAAAAATATCTACAATAATAATAATAATTTTTATTAGTATTACGTGCAACCAATAAAATCCTTCCCCTCCATAAACGCATGCTCTCATCCATTCCCAAGGGGGTGCACTTATGGAGGGTTCACTGTATTTTATTTTCTTTCCAATGCCGTAAAAACCTTTCTACTTTCAATGACACCTGATAGCCTTCCGTTTTTTCTCTTTTAATTTGTGTCTGATGGATTTAATAATTACTTACAAGAATAAGAAAAAATCTATGTATATTTTTTTTTTTTTATCATAATGCATTATTATCTATTATACCGAGATAAAATCGTTATATCTAAGAACTATTGCCTTTTGATCAATTAATGAAGGAGATCTTAGTAGACAATTACTTTTTCTTACAAACAATAAACCATTACTTTTTCAATTAATAAAACCATTACTTTTCCTTTCTAAAACTTGTTTATATACATTAACCTTCAGAACCTAAGCTACAAGCTTGTAATTTTTTGTGTTTTTGTGTAATTTATATAAATGGGATGTCCAAAATTTTTTTTTAGCAGGAATTGCGTTTTGATAATTATAACTCGGATCACCATGCTCGCCATTCATGCCCGACTTGTCAAGTTTACCTGTGTATAATAATTTAGATTGTTCAATTTGGATTATCTGGTTAAATCTGACGGCTAGATGATGAGATAAGTTAGAGGCAGTACTTTTTATATGTTCTACATATATAATTATCCTAAAAGCACATGGGAAAAGGGATATAAACGAGGCATGACCGTAAATAATATTATCGTTCCATTGCATTTGATTTTATTTCTCTTAGTTTTCTCACGGGTTTATATATTTTTAATTGCTCCACTAATTTGATTAAAATGATTGCAATTAACGATATTCTTGGGAATACAAAAAGATCAACAGAAAGTTTTCGTAGTTAGCCTATAGAAATTACTTGGAGGCTAAGCCGGATTATAATTGAGGTAACATCTGGATTTTTGGCTGAAAATTTGGGTAAAGACTTTTTTAATAAGTGGTGTGACTGTCCTGGGCATAGCAGAAAATCTTTGTTATAAGCCATACATATTCAAAATCAGGTATATAGAAAGCAATTTTTGTGTCATATGAAATTATAGGACCGGTAGAAATTCCTTAGCACTAAAATATACAATGAAATACATCATACTGTGTTTGATATTTCCTATTTATCATATGTGCTACCTACCGTTAAGGGAATAGTTGATTTGATTTCATACTGTGTTTGCAATGTTATTGTGTATGATATTTCTTCATTAGCAAAAAACCGGATTATTTTGATAAAAATAGTTCGAGTTTAGGAAAAACATGATCATTTGTGATGGGCGTGGGTGGATAAAACACTGCAAAAAAGAAATTATTTATTATATATATAATGTGAATTAGTTAAAATTTTGGGGTAGGGTGTTTGAATACGAAATTCTGATTGGCTAATTTGAATTTCACATATGCACAACAATGCCAAGAATGGCTTCGGGGCTTTGAATTTTTGTAAAAAAATTATTTTTAGAATAGAATGACATTAACGATTATGGAATTTATTGTATATCCGTAACAATTAAAAATTAATTAATTTTCAATTACACAGCCATCAATTCAACAAAAGGATTCATCATACACACATCACACACATTTTTTTTCATTTCGTTTTCCGGTACTAATAATTAATTTTATTATTATTTTTACCGTAAAAAAAATATGTTAATTTCTACATGCAAAGACGAATTTACAAAAATCCAGAATGGAGTTATACTTGATTTATCGGTAAGTATACATTCTTGACAAGCAAATAAATGTTTTGCTAATTATTCTCCAATTCAATCAATTAATTAAAATCTTCTTTAGCCATTATGTACGAAGTTTTTTAACTCAAAATCAAAAAGCTTTGAAGACTACAATATCTATGACAATGATGATGATGATGATGAATTAGAATCTTTCGACCAAGAATTACATCGACGTTACAATCTTATGTATTTTATTCCTAGAGAAAACCTAAATAAACGACAAGTTGCTCGAGACGAATATATAGATGCAGAAGAGAATGAAGAAGATGGAAACGATGACAATGATCTGACACTTAAAAAACGAAGCATAGTTGAACCTTCGAAAAGAAAGCCAAAAGAACAATTAAATAATTCAACACCATCAGAAACATCATCGCCTTCACCTCTGCCAATAAAACCATCTGATGTGTCATCTGCGCCACCAATAAGTAGTAGTAGTTCAATTGAAGAACAATCTACAAGAACTTTTAATGGTGATGAAATTTTATCGACATCATCATCATCTTCATCACCATCACAGTTATCATCATCATCATCATCGCCAACGCCACCATTACAGTCGTCACAGCCATCACCGACAACTGGCATAGTTAATTCTGAAGATAATAAATTAAACAAATCAGTTCCAGTAAAAGATGCTTTGTATTGGTGGAGGAACGATCCTCTTGTTAGTATCCATCATGAACATTGGCATATAGTTTTTGCTGCTGACGAAGTTGATGGTGTAAAAAAAGATAGGGAAGGGGAAAGTTTTATTTATATGCACAGATTCATGTTAGCAAGGTAATTAATTGGTAGCATTAATGAACATATTAAAAGGCGTTTATACTTATTTAATCGTAATTGTATTTGTATTTTTATTAGATATGATGCTGAACGTCTTGCAGCCGGAGTAGGAAAAGTTACACCTTTGAAAAATTATCGAGATCCAATACCTGAAGCCTTTTATCCTCCTTCTCAATTGTACGAACCTGTTGACGAGAATGGATCGCATGTTCACTTTCCATCTCGTCCTCCTGGTCAAAAATTCCATGACACAAGTAATCAATAATTTAATTTAATAATAATAATAACATTATGATTTTTATATAAAATAAACATTATCATTATTTTTTTAGAATTTGATGGAGATGGAAAGGAAAAATCGAATTTTGTTACAGTTAAGGATTTGGAAAATACTTTGTTAGAAGTGGAGAATTGGATCGATGGCAATAAAACTGAATCACACTCATTGAACTTGTTAAATGATTCTAATGGAAATGCTGATTTGGGTGCTGAAATTGAACAGACACTACATAATGTTGGGCATGCCATGCTTGCTTATATTATGACACCTAATGATCCTTTTGCTCCACCTGGTGTTTTGGTTGGTGCTCGTGCAGGATGTCGGGACCCTCTATTTTGGAGATGGCATCGTCACATTGACAACATTTATGTTAGATGGCAAACTCGATTAGGATTAAATATGTTCAGTAATGATATTCCGCCAGTGAAAATAAAAAATAGTGATATTTTCCTTGGATTTAAAGATGAGTTATTTAATCTTGATCAAAATGGTGATCATGATGGATGGCTTAATTATGCCAAGAATACAATTGGCGGTGTAAACTTTGATGAACCACTGGTAAATGTTACCGGATTCACCAATGAATTACAAACCACTATGAAAAAAAGAGTTCATATTTGGCGTGAAGATATTAATAATACAGAAATTGTTGAGTTTTTATATCCTAGAGAATTCTTTACTTTTTTCCGGATTGAAAATTTATCTTTTAAAGTAAGTATATAAATTATTAGTGATGATCAATGGGTATTATTATATTGAGTGTAATTTAATAGAACATTTTTCTCACTCACCTCATCACTCCAATATTGTTAATTAAGCCACTGCCGGTGACATTCAGAGTTTTTATTGTTCCTGAAGTATTTATGGACTCATATGTCCACTGGATAGAATTTGACAAATTCAAAAGAATATTGAAGCCATATGAGAAAACAATAATATCACAAGATAGTGATCAGGCAATTGGTATACGTAAGCCAGCACAAAAATCTGTTAAACAAATGGAATCCACCATGATCACGCCCACATACCAGGATGAAATAGACGCTATGGCAATAGATAAACAAGCTGAAACAATATTTTGTGGTTGTGGTTGGCCATACAATATGGTAATCCCAAGAGGAACAAAACAAGGTCTTCGATTTAAAATGATGGTATATGTATCGAATGGTAAGGATGACAGGGTCCCGGTTGCTCCAACATGTGGAAGTCAATTATTATGTGGTAGCAGGAAATGGAAAGACAAATATCCTGATAAACATCCTATGGGTTATCCATTTGATAGACCTTTTATAAACAATTCATTTTATCAAACATTTGCTCATTTACCGAATGTTGCTATACGTGATTTTGTTATTCGTTGGGTTGAGGATTTCCCTCTATTAGTTCCTTTGCATAATTAATTTTAGCGCACACATATATATATATAGTGTATGTATTATTTATTATTTTTATTTATGTAATATAGGCATGTTATTATTAATTTTGTAAATACAAGAACAATTAGATTATTTAATTTTCCTCAAAAATAAAACGCGTGCGTTAAAAGGTTTATCTCGATTATATTTCACCTCTTCCGCAAAGCCTACTAATACAAATAATGATTCGATTACAAGATCTATATCTTCTTACACAATATCGTGCACAAACATTACATCTGCTACTTCTACCTCGAAAACCAACACCGATACGAAGACGCCTACTAATTTGCTGACTTTCGATAATTTCACTATCAAGATCATCACTATTATAGTCTTCGCCAATCGATTCATTTGTAGCATTTTCTTCACCTCGCTTGTTGTATTTTTGTTGTTCTTCCACCTCTTCAAGACAAGAGGATGAATCTTCTTTATTGGTGGTGGTAACTGATAATGATAAAGGTAGCGATGATGGTGATGATGGTGAAGAGGGGATTGATGCATTTGTTAGATATAATGTTAACAAAAAAATAAAATTTAACCGTATGATAAACATTGTAATTTTAGAATAAATAATATAATTATTATTATTTATCATCCATCTTTATATGTTTTTGTTTGATGGAAGCTAAATTTTTAATCTATAAACATTTTATTAAGAAAACCTTAATTTGATTTACTTTTTTTAATCTTTGATTAAAAAAGTTTTTTTTATTTCTTTATAAATAAATATAACGATCTTTGAGTTAAATTTCACAAATTAAACAAATTATTTGCGCTACTGCCCCCGATTTTTTTATTGGTATTAAACAATATAATAAAAATGAATCTCACATTGTTAATTATTTCGTTTATAGGCAGGCACAGGGTACTGCATATAGCAGACAGACAGTTTCACCGAAATACGATCATGTTGTTAGTTGATAGTTGGAAATTTTCTAATGTTGGATCGGAACTATTCGCAAGAAATTTTTTTATTTTACCAAACTGTTAATACACGTGAGATACGGGTTGGGTGTTTGGATGCGAATTCCGATTGCCTAACTTAAATATGCCATTGTATCGTTTAAAAGATTGGTTGGATTTGAAAATGAGGAGCCTTATTTGTATGTTTAATAATTTTTCTTCCCCTTGTAAAGAGAAAACCATGCCCAACAGGCATTTTAGTAATGATTTGCATCAAGGAATAAAATTTGTTACTTCGAATGGATCAGGGAATGTTGAAGTGAAAAGGATATACTTGTAAAGTTTGAAAGGTTGTTATTTAGTGTACTTGCATCTGCTTCATAAGGGCGCTGACATATATTAGCTAATATCGTTCGCTTACCCCCAACCCATTTTGATCATGTGTATAACAATCATTTGCCTTCTTTAGATATCAACAAAATAACGAAAAAAAGAATTGATTTTAATATATAATGATCTCTTGAAAATTTCTGAATATGAATTGCATTAACATCCCTTGACCAAACACCCTATCTGGTTCTGAGTGTAATAACGCCTACTTATCCTGCTAAAGGAAAATATAAAGAACAAAACTCATAGATTTTTGATTATTTCTCTCTCAAAAAAAAAATATATAATAATAGATGTCCTATATAACAAAGAAAAGAAGCAAAATTGATTTGTTATTTATTTAAAAAGGATGGTGATGATGGTAGTATGTAACATGTAATCATTCTAGTTATTTTTAAAGAATGTTGACAGCTGTGACTTGTTGCAATTCATTGTCATTCATTCTAGTTCTAATTTTAAATAGCATGAATAAAATATTGTTACACGTTCTTTAGTAAGAATCTCAAAAAAAAAAAAAAAGAGTATGATGAAAATAAAGTAAATAAATCATATTCTTCTTCAATGAGCAAAAGTGACTATTTTAATGAATCTGAATTTTTGATATAAACCAATCCCTAGTTTATAGGAATTAAATTGTGAACAAAAAATAGTTTTTGACAAAAGGCCTTAATGTAGTTTTACTGGTGCTGGTGGTAATATTACCATTAATGATTGTTCAATATATATTTATATATTCTTTTTGTCATCAGTTATTGAATAATTTAAAAATTAAAGCTATTTGTAGACACTGGTAAAAGTTTTCAATTAAAAACAATAATCAACAAACTGAAAAATGTTGGGTGAAACAGAAGTTGGTGTTACTGCAATGGCTGGCATAACCATTACATGACCAACATTGATATAACTTTTATACTCATTTTTAAGTTTAGCAGCATCAAATTATTTTTTACCTATCTTATCAATGATGAGGTAAAATAGGATTATCCTATAGACAATTTATTAATTATAAACAAATATTAATTGTGTATTTTCAAGGTCAAATGTGACCCAGAAATTCTCTATATTAATATTAATATGTTTTAAAGGTCAGTTATCACATGTGACAAATTCAAATGTCCGCCATGCTATAATATTAGTATTTTTATCATATAGTCTAGAAGCCTAGTAGTAAATGTTGAAAGTGTCAATATTTATCAGATATTCTTTTAAAATTAATCTTTTTTATTAGTGAATTATTGCTTAATTTAATAAACCAATAATTCTTTTATATTATAATTAAATTATTGGTTAAATATTTCTAAAACTCTTTGTGCTAAAATAATATCATAAATCTTGAGCAGTAGTTAGGTTTCTATTCAAATAAGGTTTACTCGAATAAAACAAACAATTTGAGTAAAACGAATAAAACGAATAAAACGAATAAAACGAATAAAACGAATAAAACGAATAAAGCGAATAAAACGCATAAAGCGAATAAAACAAATAAAACAAATAAAACAAATAAAACTAATAAAACGAATAAAACGAATAAAACGAATAAAATGTATTATGAATAGAAACCATGCATCAATACTAAAATCAAAAAAACAACAATAAATAAACAAACAAATAGCTTTTATTGCGAAACATTAATTTTGTTCCTTTAGTGTTAATGATCGAATTGATCACACAAGCAGTAGTCAATTTAAACAGCATTGTTTTTAAAGAATTTATTCAAAATATTTATTGTATAAGTTTAATTTTGCAAAAAATTTTTTGATACATCAATCTCAGTCCATATTTATATACTTTAAAGTTTCTTTATTTCTTTTTTTGATAAATAATAAATTTATCCTTTTGTTTATTTGTTTTAGTAGTAGATTCAAATAGATTTTATTAGATCAAATGGTACACTACAGAGAATCAATAATGCAAAAACACACATAATAAGCATATATAGCTTGTAGCCTAGGTCCTGTAGAATATGCATGCAAAATTTCTACATCAGGAAATCTTTTAGGGGATAATAATAAATATCGAGATACATCATTTATCTCAATAAAAAATCGAAAATTAACGAAATAAGATAATTTTCGATATTATCTTACGATATGTAACGATATTTAGCATCATCGAAATTAATTACCAAGATAACCAACGATGAAGATAATATATGAAATTAATCAAGATAATTAATGATAGAGATTATATACGAAATTAATCACTGACAGTGGTGAATATTAACGGGCAATTGGTTGGTCCATGGTTTACAACCTCACAATCTTCACCTTTTTTAAATGGGTCATCATATATACAGAACCTATGTGGCAAATATTTAGAGTTGGTAAGAATTCCATAAAAACAATCGAATAATAATTATGTTCCTCCTAAACGATCCATCGGGCATCCCTAGTATTTCTAATGATACTTATCAAAACTTTGCCAAAGATAATAAGGCAAATTAAATTTATCTGATGGCTAGAACATATAATTTCTACGATTTTTTATTAGATTTAAACTGTTCAGGCCAATTGCTATTATTATTGTTATTGAGTTTAATTTGGAAATAGTTTTATTTTATTTTTATTATTTATTCAAAATTACTATTAACACTTTCTAATCATCGTCCTCGTCACCTCTATTTCTACATTCTCTAATACATCTAAATATGCGATTACAACTTCTATATCTATTTGTACATCGTCGTACACAACGTACACAACCACGATTGCCACGACCTCCACTTCCTCCACGACCTCCACGACCTCCACGACCTCCACGACCTCCTCCACCACCTCCACGACCGCCTTGTTGATCTTTAACATTTTCATCATCATGATCACTGCTGCTTGGTTCATCAGATGATGGTAATGAATCGATTGATTCATTTTCAGCATTTTGTGCAATACAACTGCCAAAGGTGTCAGAAAGACAAGATCCATGATTTTTTTCGTCATCTTCTCCATGATTTTGTCCCTCTAGATCGTCATTAAGATAGGGTAAGTCTTCTTTTTCAGTGTTAGTGGTGGTAATTGATGATGAAGGAAGAGAAGCCAACGCATTTGTTAGACTTAGAGTTAACAAAATAACAAAAATTAATCGTATAATAAACATTTTGATTTAATAAATTTTTTTTGATGTTTTTTGATGGATAGAGAGGAATATTTTTTTGTTCTTTAAATAGATAAAAGTTTTCGTAACTTTGATGGAAAAATTAATTATTTGGAAAAAGTTAATCAAATGCTTATTTTTTTTTTTTTTTTTTTTTTTGATTAAGAAAATATTTGATTAACTTTTAATCCTTAATTAAATTTTATCAAAATAACCAATTACACAGAACTGGTTCGAATCATAATCAAGCACATAATAATAATAATAATAAAAGAATTTTTGATCGAAATTTATATTTCTTGCTCAAAAAAAAAAAAAAAAAAAATCACACATTATAATATTTGACATTATACATCTTGAATAAACATTATATCGTTTTGAAATTAAGCATAAATTTTTGAAAAATTAATTCGAAAAGTTTTATGCTCAAAGATGTCATTTTAATTGAAAGTCAACGTGGCGAATTATCAGTTTTATAAAAGCAATGCACCTACCTAGAATTTTGTCTCGTACTATTTTTATGAAACATAAAAAATTGAATTGGCCGTAAACAAAGAAAATCAAACACAGGAGGGTATAATTCAAAAAAGGACAGCTTTACACTGAAAACCTTTAAAAAATAGTAAATGTTTTCATGGCTCGTACAATTCGAATATTTGATTGTTCGTAAGGCTCAAACCCGAAAATTCAAGCTTTAGTATTAATATAGTATTAATGGATAACAAGCAAATTCAATAATCGCTGGCTTTTCTTCTTTAGTTTTAGATGGTAAGTTGATTTCTTTTTTAAATTCTTGCAATTTAATGCTTAACCGTTTCCCAGGAATTATTAATAAGAGCCATTCTAGTTATATAAAAAAGATGATATAAAAAATAAAATAAAGATATAATGATGAATTATCAAAAGCTATTTGGACGTGACAAAAAATTTACCAGAAATCTAGAATAAATCGATGAAATTTTTTAATTTTAATCTTGATCCAATTTACAATATTTTTCTTTTATATTATACTGTATATAAAATAATATTACTGTTACTAAAGAAATATTCAACTTAAAACTCCCTGTGAGCCAGATAACTTGTCTGGCTAATGCGGAGCTTTAATGAAAATTTAATAATTAATAACAAAATTTTTAAAAATTCGTTGAAACGCGAATTTAATTATAATTCACTGGGACGAAGTTCGTTAAAACGAGGGTTTGGCTGTACAAGCTTCTTATAAGAGTGGTGGTGGCGGTCATCGCCAGCCACTCGTCGTCAATCTAGTTAATTAATAATCATACCTATCATTATTCACGTTCTTTTTCTTCTTACAATGTGAACGGTCAAATTAAAGGGAAGGAAAGAAAGATCATAGACTTTTTCAAATATAATAATAACTCATCAGACATAAAACTATCGGATAATCAAAAAATAGTTTATGACTTAGTTGTTAATAAACGCGAGAGTGTCCATATATTATTATTATGGTGCCCTTTTTCCTATAAAAAAGGAAACGATGTAACGAAAATTTTTGCTATATATTACTTTTTTTTATATTAAAGTTTATAAAGATTTTTTCATTTTGATGGTTTTTAGAAACCTTTTAAACAATTTAATTGCGGGAGGTATCTGTAGAATATTAATATGTTTATTTTGCATAATTTTTTAATAGGTAAAAATATTACAATTACAAACTTTCAATCTAGAACAGTGCTACGGAGAGAGAATCTTTGTTTCGTACAATTTTTTCAGAAGTTGCAATAGATAGAAGTATTATGATAAAGAAATTTTCTGTATTTCAAATGAGTTTTTTACGCCATTTGTATTTTTACATACATTAAATCTTTCCATAATATATATACTACTTTTCATGCAAATTTTGGTACCCATTAATATAGATAAGAAGAAAATGTTCCGGTTTAATGGTAATAGATAAATCGTGTCTTATATAAAATAACCCCAAATTTTATAAAAAAAAATAAAATCATTCAAAAATATATATTTTATATATATATAATAATAAAAAAAAACAAAAAAACAAAAAACATAAAATCGAATATTATTATTTATTATAGGTATGAGTGATTATGATTATTCTACACTTCCTCTGACCAATAATTTTCATCAACAATATTCCAATAAAAACACTTTAGATATAATACTATAAATTATCATAATCTAAATCAATATTCACCACCACTACCACCACAAAATACTCAAACGTTTCCAAATTATCAAAATATTGTTGCCGCTGCCGATGTCACCAATACTACCGCAAACGTCGACGCCACATTTGCCATTGCCAGCGGTAACAATATGAAACCTTCAGTCTCGACTCCATTATTAAATGATTCTTCTCACAAAAGCAATAATGATATTATTTGGTTCTTGGCACGTCTTGAAAAACGTATTGGCCAAATGGAAAAACATAGAAATTTGCAAGCAACAATTTATCACAAAATAATATTTTCGATAATGGCCATTATAATTATAATAGTGATAATAGTAGTCAAGTATTTTACCAAATTTGGAAATCGAATCTAGAAAAATTGGAACCCCCTTGTTGATCAATTCATATATGTTACAAACGATTTAACGTGACATGTCGTGCTTTGTGAAAATAAAATTTTTTTAAAAAAAATTCTAATAATAATAATCAAAATAATTCTTCTGAATATATATTTTAAGAATCCACCGGGATCCACGCAACTTTACATGCTAGTTTTTTTTTAATACATAGGAGTATTATTGGCTTAAAATCCTTTTTTTTTAATTTTTAACAGTTAGTAACATAAATGTTAGACCGTTATGTTTGTATGAAGATATTGCAAACAAATATCTAGAAAGCCAGCTGATGCCATGTTGGTGCAAATCTTATTATTAAGTACAGAAGTATATTCAGAATCACCATTACTATATTTATTCATGTAAATTAATTTGTTGATAACAATATACTTTTATTTAGGC